GTTAGGGTTTTCTGAGTTTCGCGAAAAAGTGAGTCACAAAAAAAAACATCTTATATATGTCCGGTAAAAAATACGGTTAGGTTTAAAAGTAATTTGGTAAATTCCGGTTTGGACGACTTATTATTAAGTTGTCTGTTGATACTATACATCCGACTAAGTCGTCTGCCTTATTAAATATATTTACTAGACGACTTAATTATAAGTCGTCCAGACCCTAAACCCTAAACCCTAAACTAAATTGACTAAATTAACTACTAACCATGTAATAAAATCAAATTATACTTAAATAGTGTTTACTATACACATAAATAAACACACTTAGGTAAATTTTAAATTTTTCAAAAAAACATTTATGCTTTCGAATTTCTAACCTAAGAAACACATACAATACTACAACATATGTTGGTGAAACCTAAACTAAAGAATATCATCATTCACTACTTTCACTCATCTATGCTGAAAACAACTGACTTTTTTTTATATCTTAATTTATATCTCTTAAGACATATGTTAATTACATAATCCCAATTTTTCATTTCAAGATATTTATTACACAATTTTTAAATTATTTTTAAGAAAAACTGTCCTAGACGACTTGCGAGGGCTAGAAACGTAAAAAAAAAATCTTTTTTTTGTTCAAAATGGGTTGGTTGTAATTTCAACAGCTTTTTAAGTTACTTTTGCATTTGATTCAATTTTGGATTTACTTTTGCATTTCAAATCAAGTTTTGAGTCATATTTGGCAATTTTTCCTTAAAAATATAATGATTTCTTCCAGCTTTTATTCTAGTTAACTATAACAATATGTTACATAAATTTTCTTAAAATTTGGTCAAGTAGTGAAGTAAAGTTATTTTTTTCTCTCAGTTAGATAGCTGTTTTATGATTTAAGTTATTTTAATACATTATCTCTTTAAACTAATGATATACAAAATATAAAAGAAGTAACTTATTCATTATAACTAAAAATATTTTAAGATAGATTAATAGATAATATGAAAATATATTTACTATTTATACATATACATGTTTGTTAGAATCTGATAGGTATTATTATTATAAATCAACATAATTGATTAGAATTTTAAATTAAACATTACTGTTTTTTTGTCATAAAATAAATTTTACTGACTAATTTATAAAGAATAATCTTCAGAATAATTTTATTACACATAATTAAATTATTTTCTATGGACTATATTAATTATAGTTTATTGTTGAATATAACTATTTCTAATATATATATATATATATATATGTAAGTTAAATAATGTAAAGTACTATTATAAGAGAAATTACTTAGAATGACTCTATTTAATCATGAAATGACTAGAATAACTCATATAATTTTGAAATAACTAGAATAACTCTTGAAATAAGCAAATTGACGATTTTGCCATTACTAATAATTATACTATAATTTAAAAAAAGAAATATACTTTAATTTTAAGTAATAAAAAAGGTAAATATTTTATTTTTGTAGGGTTTCTCTGCCGAACGAAACAGCCTCCTCCACGTCTCCTTCACCTCCAATTTCCATTTTTTTTTTCATCAAAACCGGCTTCGTATTCATCACCCCAACTGTAACTCGACTTTATATCTTATATGCTCCACTTGCACTCACCTTTGTCTCTATGTTTCACCTCACTCACTTTCGGCTTCAATTGCAACTTACTCTAATCTGTGTGTCTTTAATCTGTATTATTCGAGTTGTTGTTATTGTAGATTAGTTGATTGCAGGTAGAAATTTGGAACCCTTATTATCAGTTTCGTCTAACCTTCGACTTTAAATCTGTTGAACATAGGTTTGGTTCCGAAGGAGAATTGATTTTTTTTTGTGTAGGAGCATTTCTGAGTTAAAAGAGAATGAGAGACGATGGACGTTAGAAGATATTTCTTGAAGCTGGTTGGACCAAAGGTTTCAGCTTGAGAAGACAATGAAAGATTCTTACTGGTGGTGGAGCTGATGAAAGCAAAATAGGCGTTGAACAAGTCAGGTGAACTTGGACTCAGTATGTATTCCTTTATGAAAGCTTCCATGTTTGACCCCAATGTGAGTTGATATTTTGCTGTAAAGTTTTGCTTTTTTCTTATGTTTATATTGGAACTTTGGTTTAATTTGTTGTTGTGCTCTAGATGGAGAATATGGTTCACTTTCTTACTGAAATTGGAATGGTGCACTATGACACCTTGAAGTTCTGTTCCTCCATGCTTGCTGCTTCAGCTGTGTACACAGCGAGATGCTCATTGAACAAGTCACCTGCTTGGATTGACACTATTACTCAGAATCTGAGATTATGTAACAACAGAGATGACTACTTCCAAATTGCAGAAACTTATATGTTTTATTCTGTATTTGTGTTGATAGGGCATGCTCAAAGCTTCTAGCTTTACATCACTCTGAGATGCGGAGAGAGAGCATGTTACGTACTGTGTATAAGAATACTCAAAGATCGAGAACAGCGAAGGTGTTGCTTTGGTTTCACCAGCCAAGTCTCTCTTGAGTGCTGCTCCTCTTTCTTTATGCTCAAGTGATCTGACGGGAAAAGAGTCGTTCCTCAGTAGGCATATTCCTCAGATTTGAAAACTTTTGTTATGAGTTCAAAGTAGTAATGAATTCTTTTTCTTTGTATTGGTTTCAACTTTTCTATGATTAATAAATAAACTTTATGATTATCTGATTGTGTTTGCTTGTTTTATGCTGTGTAATGTGTTGTCAAAACAATCCTAATGATCTCATTTAGTATGAGCTTAAACAAATTTTACCGGAACAACATATTTGATCTGAGTTCTAATGTCTGAGTTGTGTAATGCCAAATTGTGTATTTGTGTGTGAACATGGTGATGTGTCCAACATGACTCTTGAAATAATGTGTACTTTATTGATTTCTATATTATATAAGAGTTATTTTCATCTGGAGACAGTTTCCGAGATTCTCTTGCACGTGGAGGCAGTTTCCCCTACAGGAGCAGTTATTGTGTGAAAAGACACAAAAAGTCCCTCTAGATTGTGTAACTAAACATATAATTGTGGTACCCTTCTAGTTAGGTTTCGTTACTCTTGTTTTTGTCTTTTTAAAATTCAAATATACTGTTTTTGTTAGCAGTTGTGTACCCGAGACAGAATTATAAACCCTTTTTAACTTGAGACATTTTCTTCTTCTTCTCATTGGCTGTCCTTTTGTTTTCCATCGAACACGAAACCTCCTCCTTTGTAGTGAATCGTGCGACGGCGAGTTTTAAGGGGGTTTAGCATCTCATTCTCGGTTAATCTCAGATTTACGTATGTCTTCTCGACGGAAACGGCCCGGAAAAGAAATCTCTGGTGGACGCAGCGGCGACGGTGGGTTCTTGATCGGAGTTTTTTTTTTTTTAAACTACTTCAATTTTGGGGCTGTGTGATAATTATTTGGTGGGTCGTTTCTATTTCAGGCGGAGGAGACGTCGTTGGTGTGGACTTGAAGCTTCCTAAGCGACTGTTTGCTACGGATCGATTCCCAGATCGGCGTTTAAATTGTTATTCGACGGTTGATTTGCTTTTGTTTGTGCGCGATGTCTTGGAAGGCTCAGAGGAGTGGGAAATTTTGATGCGGTCACCTTTTGGGAGGCTTATGGAACTACCTGCCCACCGGTGTTCGATGTCGGGGAAGCTTGGTCACGCCATGATAGTGAGGCAATTGATCACGAAAAAGAAGTTCGAGTTATGGCCGGTATTCAGTGGAAATCTTTTTAGATTTTCATTGGCCGAGTTTGGCGCTGTTACGGGTCTCCCCTGTGGTGAGTTCGAAGATGGATACACTCACGTGTACGAGCCCAAGCCTACGGATAAGAACTACGAGTTCTGGGAGAAACTCATTGGCGATGACCGTGCTGTGACACTAGATCACCTCGTCAATGTTGTTGCTGGTGATTACAAAATGGAGGGTTGGCGTAGGCTCAGACTCTGTCTCATAATAATCGTGGATGGTGTTTTGGTGAGGACTTCGCAGAATCCAAGGCCGAGTTTGAAGTATGTTATGCTAGTGGAGGATCTTAGGAAGTTTTTCGCATTTCCTTGGGGGAGAGAGTCCTATCTGTGGACAATTAGTACCATGAAGCCTGGCCCTAAGATTCTTGATAAGGTTGAAGATCCTATTGGGGAGTTCGTTAAGCGGCTGATGCAGGAGACAACGAAAATGGTTGGGTTCCCCTTATCGCTACAGCTTGTTGCTTATGAGTGCATCCCTTGTTTGCTAGCTCGTTTGTCTGGTGATGATAGTGTGAAGTTGAAGGATTACAAGAAGTCCATTTTACCGAAACACGCGGGGTTGAACATAATCGACATTCGTAACGCTGAGCACGACCCTGAGGTATACTCGACTCCACAATTATTTCTGTGAGTATGTGGCTAGTGTGGTTAAAATGTTATAAGTTAGGACGTTAGGTTGTATTGTTGTTTATAGTGTTCGCGTGGACACCGAATTGATGTTTACGCTGGATACCTAATTGCGTAATCGTTGTGTGATAGGTAGTACAATGAGTTGATTGATGAGTTGATTGATTTTCTGGACACCGCGATCGTGTACATGTGTACAATGAGTTGATTGATTTTATGGACACCGCAATCGTGTACATGTGGACACCTCAATCGTGTACATGTGTACGATGAGTTGCTAATTTGTGTGGTTAAAATGTTATAAGTTAGGACGTTAGGTTGTATTGTTGTTTATAGTGTTCGCGTGGACACCGAATTGATGTTTACGCTGGATACCTAATTGCGTAATCGTTGTGTGATAGGTAGTACAATGAGTTGATTGATCAGTTGATTGATTTTATGGACACCGCGATCGTGTACATGTGTACAATGAGTTGATTGATTTTATGGTCTTTAAATTGTGGACAACAATTCAGGTGTACGTATGGTTACGAACTGCTTTCTTTCTATGTCATTCTCCTTCTTGCTAATTTGTGTCTGATTGTAACTTGTTTTTTGTCTTTTTTTGTAGCTAAAAGTGCAACCCATGCTTGAGCTATCAACCATGGGTGGGGAGGAGTGGATACCTTTCGACGACGAGAGGATGGATCATGAGGTTGCTTACATGGCAGGGGAGATTGAAAAAGGCAGGGTATTCCGCAAGACAGACTGGGGTGGAGGTGACATGCGCGTGGACCTTTATGTTCACGGCGGTGCCAAGAAGAAGAAGAGAAGGGTGAGTGAAAGGGTTGATGTTGTGGAGTTTGACGGAGAGGGGCCTTCCATGAATCAGGGAGGAGATGGTCATTCGGGGGGCGATTCAGAAAGACCCGTAGATATTGTTGTGGCCCGTCTGACTTTGGAGGTTGAGACTTTGAAGAAGGAGATTGTTTTGTTGAAGAAAACTGTTAAGTCACTTGTTAGGCGGGTTGGTCGCAGAAGGGGTAGGAAACGTGACTATGTGAGGAAACAGGGTGTAGCTTCTCAACAGGGTGGAGGTTCTCCACAGGGTGGAGGTTCCCAACAGGGTGATGATGGTGGTGAAGATCGTGGAGGTTCTCAACAAGGTGTTGGAAGTCCTAACAACCAGGTTGGCGGTGATGGGTCGGATGAGATGCCTTTGATTGGAGAGGAAGTAGTAGCTCAGAAAAGCGGCGCTGATGACAGTTTCTCGTCTGACGAGGCACCACGGTTGTTAGTTAGGATGAAGCAAGGAGACGGGATCCCTCTGCAGTGGGCGGATGGTGGGAGGCCGGGTCCGGACGGTAATGTTTTATACGACGGCACGACTAGCAACACCTACTTCGTTGCTGATAGTCAGGTAGGTTTAGGCGGGGGTGGTCCATTGGGCGTGTTAGCCAATGTTAACCCACTTAGTTACGTTGATGGGCAGGATAGTAGCTTCGTAGCCGATGATATAGGTGGCCGCAGTCCCGGTAACGGTTTAACAGTTGAGGTATTTTTTTTTTTTCTGTTGGGCGCTATTAATCGTCTTTGTTTTCGTATTTGTTTCCTATATTAATTTCGTTACCATTCTTTTCAGGATGCTGAGAGGTTGGATGTTGTGGTTCAGGGTTACATTGGGACGTCTGAAGCTACGGTACATTTCATTATATCCTGCGTTGAATTCACACGTCGGACAATAAAATGTTGTATGTCCGCAGGCAAGCAAGAGTGGGCCTGAGATGTTCGTAGCTGGTGGCAACACGTACGTTGATTTCGGGGTTTTGCAGGAACAAACATCGACTAATGTAGTAGTCGGGGCGGAGGATGCGGTAACATCGCATGATAACCAGGTTTGCAGAAGTTTGTTTTATTTTAGTGTTTGGTTAAATGTTGTTTCTTTGTACAACTTTAAAATGTTTTTTGGCATTTTTTTTAAGAGGGTCGATAGTGATCCCATGACTCCTAAGGAGACCAGTGATGGGGGAGATGATACGAGGGAGGCTGTAGCTGTCGAGGGGAGTGAGTCTGGACCTGTTGGGGAGCATGTATTAACTTGTGTACACTCTTTTATTGTCCACCCATACACTTTAGGTGTATGGTGGACTTTTGTTTTGGTTGTCTATCTTAACACTAGTAATAGCTTTTTGATTTTGTTTTTTTCAGAGGGTCGTTAGTGATCCCATGACTCCTAAGGAGACCAGTGATGGGGGAGATGATACGATGGAGGCTTTAGCTGTCGAGGGGAGTGAGGTGGGCTTTTTTGGTGGACACTCTTTTATTGTCCACACTAACACTTTAGGTGTATGGTGGACTTTTTTTTGGTTGTCTATCTTAACACTATTAATAGCTTGTTTTTTTTTTGTTTCTTTTAGAGGGTCCATTGTGATGCCATGACTCCGAAGAACCCAAACGTTGGTGGGGATGAGGAGAGCGTGTCTGCAGCTGTTGATGAGAGTGTGGCTGGAACTGTTGGAGATCAAGTATGATTTTGCTGGATACCCTTTTTGCTTGACCATATGTACACTGACATTGTTTGGTGGACACCTTTTTGTTGTCCACTGTGATGATGTTAATTAGGCAGATGGGTTTTTTGGGTTGGGTGTTTTTTCTCTATTTCATCCACGTTTTTCTTTGTGTTTTGTAGGGCACTGTAAGCAGACCTGATAGTTGCTTGCAAACCTGTGAAGCTAGCAAGAAGGATACGGTACAGGTATATGACCTTATTTGTTGTAAGGGTTAGATTTCTTTTAGGTAGTTGTCTACACGACTGAACATATGGGTTTGTACTTCTTTACTTGCCGTTATATGTCCGTATTTGTTGTTATGGTTGTTGGGTATCTTTGTGTATTGTCCACCTGGAGAGTAGAATTAGGCGGTGGACATAGTTTGCGTTGTACACGTGGACAATGTTTGAATTCGATTTTTTAGATATCTGTAGACGTCTTTATGAACTGACGTGTGCGTTGCCTTGATATCTTGACAGGTTGGTTTGGAAGTTGGGCCTAGTGTGTTAATAGAGCCGCGCAGACCGGGTGAGCAGGAAGCCCATTTGGCTGCCTTGTTTCTAACGAAAGACCCTTATGAAGTACCGGAAATAGTCCCCACTGTGGAAGACTGTGATTATCCAGCCTTTATAAAGGTTTTGGAGTCTGCACAGGAAGCGTGAGTTTGGTTGGTTATTTTCGTTGCATTTGCTTGTACTCAAAGCAGATGTTAATTGGTGACTTTTTGTGATCTTTCTGACAGCGTTCATGCAAAGGCAGGAGGCAAAGACGACCTGAACAATAAGTTTTTCATTGAACTAGCAACGTCTCAGGATATGTTGTCTGATAAGGTAAATATGAAGAAGCTCTTAATTTTTTATTTTTTTTTTCCGTTGAAAAGGCTGAACCATTTTGCATTCGTGTGAATTTCTGTGGAACAGCATATGGAGGTGTTGATGAAGTTCGTTGAGAAGAGACATGGAGGGGCTGTTTTGATGAATCAGGGTATGTTCGTGCCGCCGTGGTTTGCCTGTCACTTGCAGGGAAGAGCGAGATCGTTTAAGGCGGCTAATGATAAGACTGTAGTTGTGGCCGATGCAAGGGTAACGAAATATCTGACTATGAAGAATATGACATGGGGTGTGGAGGTGGATAGGCTTTATACGCCAATGAAGTGGGGTGGAAGTCATTGGGTAGGCTTGTGCATTAGTCTATCGGAGTGGAGAGTTTTGGTGTTGGACCCAAACCCAAGTCTGAATTCAGATGAAGAAGTTGGTGAGTTGCTGGCAGATATGTCTAGGATGCTACCGTACATTGCTCGTAAGGTGAGCCCAACTGTTGATGCCGGCGAGCATGAGTTTGCTCCGTTCTTGATTGAGAGGGTTGTAGGTGTATACGAGAACGGGCGGGGTGGAGATTGTGTGCCTTTGGCTGCAAAGCTCATGGAGATGCATGCGAATGGTATGGATGTTAGAAACTCGGGCCTGAATGATGAGGTTGTCGACATCATTAGGAAGCAGTATGCAATGGATCTTTACAAGGGGTGGGTTGTGCCTTTGTATGTTTGATTGTGATTGGGATGGGTTGTGCCTTTGTACGCTACTATGTGGATGTTGGAAGACAATATTTTAAGTGTTTTTGGTTTGTTTCGGTGTTGGTTTTCTTTTTTTTAAGTTGTGACGTGCTTGTTGGATGTATTTTGTTAACTTTAGACCTAATGTGTATAAACGATGTATGAAGGTTTGATCATGGTTGTCAATTTTTTTAGCTTAGATAATAAATATTTAAAATCCACAACGTAAGTTGTTAAGAAAAATTTGACCAACTACGTGTACATGTGGATAATACGGTGAACATGTGGATACTTCAACGGCCACGGGGTATTCTTATAGATCATCTGCATTGACGTATTTTAGATGCAGAGTGTACTGTGCGCTCGTTGATACATAAGTGTGGTCACTCTTAATAAATCAATGTTATGTGTTTATACGAGGATACATAAGTGTGGTCACTCTTAATACAAGAATGCTCGGTGGATATTAAACATATGGATAAGACTTTGTGTACACGTGGATATTAGATAAATGTAGCACTTAGGCTAGTATCCATGTATACACCCTTGTGTATCCATATGTACACTAAATCCTAAATCCTAAACGTAGATGGATAAAGAGGTGTGTACACGTGGATACTGGAGATATTGCTGCAATATGTTTCTGGATGTTTAAGTGTACATGAAGATGGTCTTTGAGTATCCACATGAGGCACACTTCCAGTATCCATGTGAGAGTCAAACCATCGTCTTGTGGTTAATAAGACGTTACCATGTACCCACCTCGATGCGTTTCATGTACACGCTTTCGGTGTCCACGTGTACATAATTTCTTAGTCATGTTTAGTGTCCATCCAACATTCTTGGGTATCCTCATATAAACACATAACATTGATTTATCAAAGAGGGTCCACACTTATGGCTACTAGACATAAGTGTGGTCGTTGATACATAAGTGAGGACCATCTTGATACATAAGTGTTATTTGTTTATATGAGGATACCCAAGATTGTTGAATGGACACTAAACGTATGACTAAGAAATTGTGTACACGTGGACACCGAAAGCGTGTACATGAAACGCATCGAGGTGGGTACATGGTAACGTCTTATTAACCACATGACGATGGTTTGACTCTCACATGGATACTGGAAGTGTGCCTCATGTGGATACTCAAAGACCATCTTCATGTACACTTAAGCATCCAGAAACATATTGCAGCAATATCTCCAGTATTCACGTGCATAAACCACATGACGATGCCACGGTATTCACATGGATACTGGAAGTGTGCCTCATGTCGATACTGAAAGACCATCTTCATGTACACTTAAGCACGCGGACATATATTGTATCCATAACTCCAGTATCCACGTGTACACACCGCTTTTTCCATCTGTGTGTATGGTATGGGGTCCAGCCGACATATGGATACAATATGTGTCCGCGTGCTTAAGTGTACATGAAGATGGTCTTTCAGTGTACATGTGGATACTGGAGTTATGGATACAATATGTGTCTGCGTGCTTAAGTGTACATGAAGATGGTCTTTCAGTATCGACATGAGGCACACTTCCAGTATCCATGTGAATACCGTGGCATCGTCATGTGGTTTATTTCTCATAAGTGTGTGCTCGTTGATACATAAGTGTGAACCCTCTTAATAAATCAATGTTATGTGTTTATATGAGGATACTGAAGAATGGTCGATGGATACAAAACATATGAAAGAAAGTGTCCACACGTGGACACACGTGTACACCCTTTTGTATCCATTTGTCAACTAAATCCTAAACCCTAAACGCAGATGGATAAAAGAGGTGTGTACACGTGGATACTGGAGATATTACTGCAATATCTTTATGCATGCTTAAGTGTACATGAAGATTGTCTTTGAGTATCCACATGAGGCACACTTCCAGTATCCATGTGAATACCGTGGCATCGTCATGTGGTTAATAAGACGTTACCATGTACCCACCTCGATACGTTTCATGTACACGCTTGCGGTGTCCAAATCAGACACAATTTCTTAGTCATGTTTAGTGTCCATCCAGCATTCTTGGGTATCCTCATATAAACACATAACATTGATTTATCAAAGAGGGTCCACACTTATGGCTACTAGACATAAGTGTGGTCGTTGATACATAAGTGTGGACCATCTTGATACATAAGTGTTATGTGTTTATATGGGATACCCAAGAATGTTGGATGGACACTAAACATATGACTAAGAAATGGTGTACACGTGGACACACAAATCTATCACTATGTCTAGTGTCCACGTGTACGCACATGTATTACATGATTACATTGTCCATTAAAACGTGTACAAGCATCGATAATAGACATATAGATACAAACTGGAAGACAAGTGGATACTAGACATATTGATAGACCAACTACCTAGTATCTATGTAGATTATGTAAGAATATTTATTATCCACGTGTACACACTTCAGTGACCTTGGTGTAACTCATAGACTAACGGCCTAGTATCCACGTGTACACGCATGGATACTGGAAGTGTGCCTCATGTGGATATTCAAAGACCATCTTCATGTACACTTAAGCATGCAGACACATATTGTATCCTTAACTCATGTATCCACGTGTACACACAGTTGTATCCATATGGCGGCTTGACCCTAAACCCTAAACACAGATGGATAAAGAGGTGTGTACAGGTGGATACAGTAGTTATGGATACAATATGTGTCTGTATGCTTAAGTGTACATGAAGATGGTCTTTGAATATCCACATGAGGCAAGGTCACTGAAGTGTGTACACGTGGATAATAAATATTCTTACATAATCTACATGGATACTAGGTAGTTGGTCTATCAATATGAGGCACACTTCCAGTATCCATGTGAATACCGTGGCATCGTCATGTGGTTTATGTCTCATTGAAAAATCAACATGTGTTAATACCTCCGTGTATTACATACACATTTTCAAACTATGAATACCTCCGTGTACGCGTGGACACTAGACGTAGTGATAGATTTGTGTATCCACGTGTACACAATTTCTTAGTCATATGTTTAGTATCCATCCGACATTCTAGGGTATCCTCATATAAACACATAACACTGATTTATTAAGAGGGTCCACACTTATGTATCAACGACCACACTTATGTCTAGTAGCATCGTACTGTGTGATCGTCGATACATAAGTGTGGACCCTCTTGATAAATCAATGTTATGTGTTTAAATGAGGATACCCAATAATGCTGGATGGATACTAAACATATGACTAAGAAAGTGCGTACAAGTGGACACCGAAAAAAACCTATCACTATGTCTAGTATCCCCGTGTACGCACATGTGTATCCATATGTCGAGTATCGATGTTGGAAGACGTTTAATGAACAATGTTAAAATGTACACGCTTAGATGGACTCCTTTAGTACATGTTGAGTATCCACATGGGTACATGGTACCGCACTATAATACACGGAGGTATTAACACATGTTGATTTTTCAATGAGACATTAACCACATGACGATGCCACGGTATTCACATGGATACTGGAAGTGTGGCTCATGTGGATACTCAAAGACCATCTGCGTGTACACTTAAAATCCACGTGTACACACCTCTTTATCCATCTGTGTAGTATCCATGTGAATAATGGATAAGGTAAATATGGGGAAGCTCTTAATTCTTAATAAATCAATGTTATGTGTTTATATGAGGATACCCAATAATGCTCTGTGGATACTAAACATATGTGTGTAGACGTGGAGACCGATACAAATTTATGAATGAGTTATGTTAAGTGAACTTCGATATCGCAGTATTCACATGGATACTGGTTATCGCAGTATTCACATGGATACTGGAAGTGAACTTCATGTGGGTACTGAAAGACTATCTACATCAACGAGCAGACGTGTACATGTGGATGTGGATAAATCAGGTCTGGACATATGTATCCACGTGTACACATATTTGTATCTAGGTGGGTACATGACCTGCCTTGTTGTTGTACACCTGGCCAACACTGTCCTTCTTTTCAAAACCTAGATTGAATATGGAAGATTGAATAGCGAAGCAGAAAGTCTATGATGGTAATGCAGCGTTTGCTTCACAGCCATTACATGTTTAAATATGGGTTTTAACATGATCTTACAACCAAAAAAGATTAACACAAAAGGGCTGTTATAAAGGTGAAGCCGCTATCCAAAAGCAGAATCCCGTGGATATAGGATTCACCTAGCAGGTCAGATGGGAGCGACACAGTTGGTCCTGTTGTGTCCCGAGACACCACAACGACCACATTTGTTGACTTTAGTCTTCTTAGGTACCTTTAAAAATTAAATAAGCATTAATACTTGGAAGTGTATGTTGTTAACTAAAAATGGTGTACGTGTGTATTGATACCTGAATTTCTCCAGTTGACGGGATGCGCTTGTCCTTCGGGCGGCCAGAGGGGCGACGGGTGTAGGGAGGATAGAGAGTGAGCCTATCAATTGCTGGAGGTATGGGGAGCTCCCCGACTGGTGCTTCAGGGTATATGACACCAGAGTAGGTTTCGATCCATGATTGAGTTTTGTAGTAGTCTCCAACAAGCTGAGCATATGAGAAGCCTATTGAATCAGCCGCCAACATCGCATGGCCACAGGGGATTTTAAGTTTCTGAAAAACCTGGCAGGTACAAACTTTGGTGTCTAGGTAAACGGTGTTCCCGTGACCGAAAATACCTTTTACCTGAAACTGCCAGTCGGTGATGTTATTTATTTTACTGCTTTTGGTGAGCCTGATGTGTGTCTGCATAACAGCTTCAACCTCGGGGGTGACTGAACCCCTGTGCTTGGTGGACTTAGTTCTTCTGGCAGAAAACCATCGAGTCAACATGCGTTTGATGAACATGAAGAGCTCAACAATTGGTGAATCTCTGGATTTGGTTAAGGCGTTGTTAAGCTGCTCTGCGACGTTGCTTGTAAGGAGGTTGTATCGGTTTCCTGGAAAGTATGTCCTAGACCACCTAGAAGTACCAATGTCTTCAAGGTATTTAGCACATGAGGAACTGGTTTGCCTTATTTTACCAAAGTTGTCATCGAAGTCCTTGCGTTTGTAGGAGAATGCAGCTGCACAAACCATTTTCGCCAGCCCTTTGCTCTTGTAACGGGAGACAACATTGCGCATTATATGGACAATGCATGCGCCATGGTGTGCCTT